ACATTTTTTTTAATTTTGAGAAGTACTCTAATCAGTTCAATGGGCCAGAATCAAAAAAGAAAGTTGATTCAAGTGATGTCAATGTAGAAAGAAACAGTTACTTAGTGACTGAGGGATCAGTGTCGGGAGACCCTAAGGAGCCTGCAATGTTAATTTCTCTTCCTCCTTCCTGAAATCATTGTGAAGTGGAAATGACACCTAAAAGAACTATCCCCATATCTCACATGCATCTATCCTGGCCACCACAAGCCAACATGAGTCAGAAATGAGATGACCTGCTGTTTATTGCCAAACGAACCCAAAACACTGTACTGCCTTAGGAGCTGACTGGACTGTTACTTGAATCTTAACTCTACGACTGGTGATGGCAAAGCATTTGTCAGTTAGCCTAAGGGCAAAAGTCTTCTGTACCACACACAGCTTTGTCCTCCGGTAGATCCCATATTCCTGCCCCTCTCCACTAATATACAACAGGTGGGGAAGTAGTTTTGAGTCAAGAGCTGACCAGCTGGTGGCATGCCAGCTCACACACATTATTGACATATGTACAATCTCCAACCGGGTAGGTGGGGCTCATCAGCTTTGGAAGGCAGCCCATCTAGGAGAAAGAAAACTCTGATTTCAAACCTCCACTGCCTTGTGGCTATATTCACTGATGGAAAAGGCTTCAGGAGTTAACCTCGAGGCAAAATCCGGAGCCAGAGTCCCAGAGGCAGTTCGTGTCATTCTGGCAACTCCTGCGACATTGCTGGAACCAGTTGTATTGGAGCTTGCCTTTCCATTGGACTATTTCAGTGATGTGGAGAGGGGGGATTTGCTGCTTGGGTAACAGCCTATCCTCCATATTATTTTACCCAGGCTTCATGCTCTGGAGAGGACACTCCAGCTTTGCATACAGCATCGAAGTAGAGCACGTGACCATAGTCTCTCGAGACTGAAGGATACCTATGATGACAATCTCCCACTAGCTGGGATTTTCAACCACGACGAAAACAAATCTCAGATTGATTTTCAACTCATGAGATCTCCTGGGAGCCTGGCCTATAAGAGGTGGGCTCACACATGGCCTCTGCCATTTTTTGACTAGGCCAGTGGTGCTACCAATTCAACTAAGGGATATTTGGATTATCCCAGGGAAATATTGGGGAGTGCAAAGGATTTTCTTTGAGGCCAAAATGATTAGAGGGGAATGCTGCTTCACTTTCTCTGGCATGTGGTCTTCCATGGTATGTGCTTTAAAGACCTTATATTCAGCTGGTGAAGGTGTTTAGATCTGTCTCTGTAGCGGGTCACACCTACTTGGATATGAAGAAATGGAGGCATGAAGGCATTGTCAGTTTGGTTGACCAGACTGTGACAAAAGCAGCAGATGGTGAGATGAGCGGCAACCCAACAGATTTAGGTTGGAGTGGCTTATCCTTGCCTAACCAGATAACCCCAAAAAAGGTTGAGTGGCAGGAAGGTTGCCAATGCAAGACCTAAGGGTTAGGACAGTCTGACTCTGGATATCATGACCTACTGCCATATAATTGGACCATGACACACATTTCCGATTTTTCTTTAGGATGATGTATATCATACTCTTATGCAGAATAAAGTTGTGGCGAATGGCAATGCCCAGTCTCTCTCTCTCCCCCTGCCCCCCTTTTAGCTCACAGGCCAGGAGGTTGAAGAAAGCCAGAGGATTGCTACCGCTGCCCTACAGCATTTGCTACCTGAGATGGTTGTCTTACTCTGCCTAATGGCAAGGCTGCCCATTTCGTTCCCTACCCAAGATTGCCTTGCTTATTGCTGGACTCCTGCTCCTCTCGTAACCCTTGGCAACTTCTAGCAATGCCTGCCTGCCAGGAGAACATTAATTCTCTCTTCCAATTCCTGAGAAAAATGCAGGGTTTGCTAACATGTCGCAGATAATTATTGTAGTAGGACGTTTTTGAAGCAATTTGGTGTCAGGTAAGTTGTCACAAGGCCAATTTCCTAATCAGCAGTGATTGAAATGAACAAATGTGAAGTACATGTGGGCCACTCAATAGCATGTTAGACTGGCCTTGACTCATTTTCTAAAGTGTGCAAGCAGTTCTTGTCCTTCACATTTCCTCCTGTCCTAATCAGAAAAAAATAAGCATATACCAAAAAAGGGATCGGTACAAGGACCATCAAGTTCAAGCTAGCTGCGCTAATTTTTTTAAAAAATGGTTTGCCTCGTTACCCTTAATGTTGTCTTAAGGGTGTGTTTTTCTTCATTCACATTTCTGTTTATTAAACTGACATAGCATCTTCAAAAGAGATGGGAGAATCTTCATAATCAAAATTCAACGAACCAGCTGTGTACATCTTGCTTAGGGTATGTGTATCACTACAAAATACTTCTACTTGTCCCTTTACTAATTAAGTAAATAGTCAATTAGTCTACTGAAGCCTTTCATACCAGTACCTTCTAGATGTCTTGAATGACAATGTCCTTCATCACGATTCAGCATGTCAACTGGCCATACTTTCTCGGGATAATGCAAGTCATACACCAGCATATATGTGGTGTACCAACTCAGGAAAAGCTCAACTACTGCAATAATGTATCTACAATATGTTTAGGCTATCCTATAACAGATGCCTTCTGAGCTGTTTACACAATGGTGGAAACACGATTAATATAGCATACTCAATAATAAACACATTAACAACATAAAGCACATCACAGCAGAATCAGATCGATAAAACCAGTATGCACAGGTCTTTAAACATTAAAAGAATATGGAAGTCCCAATAAAAGCAACAGAGGAAAATATATTCTAAAGGAAAAGCAGGCTTTGTGGAATTCCAGGTATGTTTTTCTTGCCATTCTGTGAGTTACTATTGCCAAGGACCCAAGATGGGTCTTCTCCTAAAAACCACCCACTGGATCTCAATTTGAACTTGACAAGGACTGTTACTGGTGATCTTAATGTTTGGGCAAACATATATTGGAGGGGATGATTCGTCAAGGGGCTTGGTTCCAACAAATTTGGGACTCTGAAGACTCATACGAGCATTTTGAATTTAAGTCGAGAAATAGACTGAAGTCAGTATAGTTCACAAATGACAACTAGTTGTCCAGCCCCAGTGAAAAACCTTTTAAGCTCTATTCTGGGGCCAACGTTTACACAGTTTTCTAGAAAAAAACTCTAGACTGTTTTCAAAGGTGGCCTTATATTTAACACATTACAGTAATTTAAGCATGTGAGGACTGATGACTATAGTATCTCCATCATATTGTTTGTAGTTGGTTCAAGAGCCAAAGCACAGATCTGTGTAGCAGAGTACTAGTGCTGCAATAATGTCAAATCCATGCTGAGCTAGGAAAATCACAGGGTGACCTTAGCCCATCATTTTCTCCCTTAGGCTGTCCTACCTCATTTGGCTGTTCTAAAGTTAAAAATGCTGGTGATAGTGGGAGCCATGTGTCATTTGCTTGGAGAAAGTTGGGATATCAAAGAAACTAATGAATGGATAATACATAAATGAAACTGATGACAGTCACTCTTCAATGAAGCCACCTGTACCTGGAGCAAGGGTGGCAAAGGGAGGCCTTCCAGATGTTGAATATGCCCTTCCATCATCATTGGCCAACACAGTCAATGGTAAGGAATCTTAAGTATTTTACTGAATTATATGGCTGTCATTTTTAGGTACACATTCATATACACACTCAGCCATAATGAAATGAACATCTGTGAATTTGAAGGTCACATTTCTTTTGCTTGTCTGAAGAGAAGGCTGAAATTCGGTTAATTTGTACAGAAAGTCAATCTAGAGCTAGTTCATAGAGTCAGTGGGGATTTGGCGAGTCAGTCCACCCGCCCTTGCTAAATTCCATTGGGATCTTCTAACTGCAACTTAATACATTAAAGCAAGTTGCAACTAAAGCAGGCACATTTGAATCAATGGAACTTATAGGGGAGTTGATTCACTAAGTCCCCACTCTTCCAGTGGGCCTATTTTAGTGTAACACAATGCTAAACAAAAGGATTTCGGCCACTTTTGCAGAAATTCTTACTGATTTGGTTAAATTGCTCATTTTCCTTGATAAATATAGCTGATGCTTATGCCAATTTTAGCATATACACCAGTACTGAATGGGATGTTAAGTCAGAAAAGTACTATTCTAAAATAAAGCAAATGACAATATCAATAAAATTGCAATGAAAATGAATCACCTGTATGATTTTTTTTAAAACCCTTGTCATAACTTTTTCTTAGTAACTTGATTCACTGCTGTGGCTTACAATCTCTGTTACTTACAAATCTAAATGTTTATTTTCACAGGGTCTGATTTCACCCAGTTGTTTGTCTGAAGAGAATGTATTACAAGATGGACAAATAAAAGCTTCTCAGGCTGCCATCTTACATATACTTATTTAGGGATAAGTCCCAATGAATCCAAAGTACCAACCATTAGACCTGTATAATATTATACCGTCTTCTATTGCCAGAGTATGAAGTAGGGTTTGTAAAAAAATTAATCACTACTGAGAGCACATGGCACATATTAGTCAGATTTTAGCTACAAGAGCCTTGTGGTGCAGTACTGAAGTACTGCAATGGCCTGAGTTTCTTGTGGTGCAGTGGTTAAACTGAAGTACTCCAATGGCCTGAGTTCGATTTTGGGTTCAGATAGACAGTTCTCAAGGTTGACTCAACCTTCTACCTTTCTAAGGTCAGCAAAATGAGTACACAGCTTGCTGGGGGATAATATTTCTGCATAAATAAACTGTAACCTGCATATCAGTAGTATATAAGCAGCACACTGGGCTTTGCTTTATTAGCAAAGTGCCACATTTAGAGCACCACATTCTAAACTAGCCACTTACTAGAACAAACAACTTTAGAAGAACAAGAGCTAATGAAATTCTGTCGTCTCAGTGAATTATGACTATATACTTGGAATCAGTAATCTGGAAAACAGAATTCAAGACAGTGGATTTAAACATTTGTAAATTTATTTATAAGAACAAAAATACAAATATTTGTAACAAGCAAAATTAAAATATATAAAACATTTCAACAGGTCATTGTCAGCTTTGATTCTACATGACCACATCAAAAAAGCCAGTTTATGGCAGATTCAGCCGTGTTAATCCCCATATGATACCTTGCTAAGCATTTTCCACATAGATAATTTGCACATTTTTAATATAACCTTAATCTGAAGAACTGTGCATGGAAGCGTGCCCATGCAACAGACCTTTATTTTATCCTCCATTCATGCCAAGAAATCACTAATTAAAGTGCAGGGACTTTCCAAATAACACAGGATGAAACACTGGGGCAGGTGGTACTGAAGATTCCCCATATGCACAAGCGAAAAATTAGTCTCTCATCAGGTGGGACAACTGCCTTTTCAAAAGGTGCAGAATCAGCTGGATTTGTACATGTGAAGCCATTTGTCTCAAAGATTGTATGCTTTCTTGAGTTGAATAATGGAAGAATCTTTCAATCCTGATTGCTCCAAATGATCAAATAATGAACACACAGCTATAAAGAGAAATTGGCAAATTTCTTAAGATTTTACCAGCTATTATACATTTTCTTAAACAGATTTGTTGATTGTTGATTATACAGCCTTAATTATACATAAATTTATATTTAAACAATTATTAATTTTAAGGTACAAAATAGCCTAATAAAGCAAATGAGGTTGTCTGACAATGCTCACTGCCCAAGAAAGGAAAATATGCCTTATCAGAACATTTTAGGCTGAACTGAAACAAGCAGAAAAGATAAATATTAGAAGATCTACACATCAGAGATGAGATTAAAGACTGTCATAATTTTGATCTATTCTAAACTGATACAGTGGGGAGGCATCTTGTTAACGAATTCTAAAGCACAGGAAACTTCCTTTCTTGGCAGCACCACTTAACCCTAAACCAAGTGATCTACTTATTCATTGTGTTGATGCCTTGCTAGAATCTGGTAAGCAAATGTAGATTATTTATATTTAAAATAAAAAAGGTATACTAACAGGATAACCACTCCCTCTTTGCAAAGTACAAAAGTCAGTGTACAACACCAGTTGTTTGGAAAAAACAACAACTGCAGACTGCAGAAATTAAAGATTTTCAGAACCAATTATGGATTTAATGGATCAGACGGAAAAGAAAACCAGATCAGGAAGGCAAGAAAGGCAAGGTAAGGTGTGCAGAGAGAAGCAAAAGGGAAAGTAGAGTATGTACATCTTTCTCAATATCTCTCTTCATTTGATGTCCCCTTCCAGACATACCTAAGCTGCATTATCTTCATTTGTAAATGTCTGTCTCTGTGTGTATTAAGATCTTTTTCCACAAATGTGCTGGATAAAATTAGACAGAAATCTAATCTTTTAAAGCAGGGGTCTCCAAACTATGGTCCGCAGGCCCCATCTGGCCCGCCTTGCCTTTTTATCTGGCTCAGGCATAGGAAGAGATGGGAAAGGGGACCTCAGTGGAGGTGGGGGATTTCCCTCCTTCGGCCCTCAAGAATTTGTAAAATATATGTGGCCCTCACACTGGAAAGTTTGGAGACCCCTGTTTTAAAGGAAAGAAGCAACACGTTCAGGATTCCACTACAGTAGTCTTGCTTTGTGCTCTCTGTGAATATTCTATGTCTGACTCGGAATGGGAATCACACATGCAATTTCTCAATTTCTTCCCTAATTGGATGATTTGATACCTATTATTATTCCTCCGTTTACCTTATCTTAATAGAAAAGAAGAATGCTATTGTGGGTTTGAAGTTCTTCCTTCCTTCTTGACTGAAAGACAGAACCCTCCTCCAAGTTCCTGGACACTTTCCCTCACCTGAAGGCTGTTGTAGAACAACTCTTGCAACAATTAAACCAAGTTGTTCTTTCAAACCCAGTTTAAAGTTTGTTGATCAATAATATAGTTACCAGAGCTTTCAGAGCCAACTGGTAGGTATCAAATGGTACATGAGCTCCTTTTCTGGGAATTAATTAAATAAACACAACTGCCAACATCGTATCAGATAAAGACATAACAGAAGAAAGTAAACAGACTCTTAACACAGTACAGATATTCCTCACCACTAACCCTGCCTCTCATAGACTCCACTACATGCATTTTTCCTACGAAAAAAGCTCTAACTTTTTGCTGTACTGCCAAACCATGGCCTCTATCAATGCTTCTGTTTGCTAACTCACTGGTAATTGACCCCATAAGTACTAAGTCCCTATCTCAACATACCACTTTTCTAGCACAGAACCAATCTGAAAGTTTTCCAGGTGGGATATATACGTTGATAAGGCCTATGACTGCTAGCCTGTTATCATCACACTTGTGTTAAACCCTAAACCTAGCAGATTTCAGCAATGACTCATGAATACCTGTTACTTACTTTTTTTCTCAGCATCTGACATAAACATTACCGCCATATCAAATCTTTTTGATTTTGATAGCTGCTGCAGAGTTTCTAAAATAAGTGACTTGCCTTCTTTCCTACAGGAGAGAGAGAGAGAGATTAACATAAATCTATAAATAACTCTTTCCAATTGGGAAAATACATAATGTGAATTCAGCATTTCCAACCTCAAGCAGGAAATGAAAAAGTAGAATATATGGATGAAAGTACACTTCAGTGTGACTATATAGAATATGTATGTATCAATTAACCTGAAACCTCTCTCAACAAGCAGCTACATGTACTGACTGCATAAAAATTGGGTCATACCCAAGGAAATAGATTCAACAGGACAAAATTTTCTCATTGCTTATTCACTTATAAAATCATCCTTATACAGAAGAAACTAGAGTCACTCCCTTTTAAGCTATGGCATTTCATTTTGGTTCAAACAGTATTGTCATTTTTCTTATGAAAAACATCTGATGTTTAATAAGTGAGAAATCTATCCTATTGAAACCCACCTTCCCAACAATATGTTGTATTTAATCTACCTCCCACCAAAGTTATGTTGGATAGTCATCTAGTCACATTTACTTTTCAACCAGGGCTTGGTCAAACTAAGCACAAACATTTCAACTGAAATCTGTCTAGAACAGTGGTTGGGGAACAGGGGTAATTTACCCCAAATGGGGTAAAAATGAAAATCCTGGGGGTAATGAGC